ATATATATATATATATATGTTGAACGTGGCAATGAGCATATCAGCCTCTTCTGTACCACCAGCAAACATCCATAGCAGTTTGTGGAGGTGTTGATGCTAAGGCTCGCCAACCAGCAGCCGTGCGTCGTCTGAAGGCAGCTCTAGGCCGAGTTGCTGCAGCAGAAGAAGCTGCTGCAGGTTGTCAGTGCGTAGTGAAAGGCTCTCGAGTCCCTCTTCATTTTCTTGAGTTCGAGATGCCATGTTGGGTGTTCCTGAGTTCAGTTCAACCAACACCGAAAAATAGTTCACTGGTGACGAGCAACGGGAGAAACAAATGAAAAGATACAAGGTAGATATGGGGCAGCTGCAAATAATCATCTGTTTGTGGCGAATTGAGTATCTGAGAGTGCTTCGCACTAGAAATAATCGAGTTCATTTCCATGCAGTTCACCCTGTAGGGAGCAAAAACTCGAGAGTAATTTTCGTCGTACGAACAGGAGTCGGGTAGGCCAGGAGAAGTTAATGCAGGGATTTTCTTCTGGTTTTACGAGATTGTGCGCAAGATATAGTGTATTTAGGAAGTAGAAACGTCCTATTTCAGAGGCAAACTAACTAAACAATGAGAGGAGTCTGTGTGCAGCTTGCAACACACGCATCAGGAGTTAGCCTTAAGATACACCGTAGGATTTACGTTCTGGAGGTCTCTTCTCTAGCGTAAAACCCTGCTGGTGTTGAGTTATTTAAGGTTCATATTGAAGCTTTTACTCACTAAACTGAGGAGTTTCAAGCGTGGTGAGAAGATGAAGACACTCCCCAGAGTGGCGGTCACCTGCAGGTGACCTTGTGCGTCCGTAGGGCGAGAGGGAAGCAACGTGAAACCACTGCGTTGCGATGCTTGATTCACGAGTGAGCCCAATCCAAAAATTTACCTTTTAATATATTTAACGTTTCTACAGTGGCCGAAATCAGTCAAAACCCCTTGGAGCACAATAGCGCGAGCGTAAGGCTCCCCTGCGCCTCCCCTGGGGCAGCCGGGGGCCCCGGAAACCTCAGCTAGCGGCTGCAGAGGGCCGGGGCCCTCCAAAACAGAGGCCAGCTTATCAGCATCGAGATGTATATTGCATTTGTTATATTTGCGCCCCTTTTGGAGACAGAACTGCAGGGGATCTCTTCCTTTTGCATGCGCCTGCTACGAAGATTTATTAAATGTGTTGGTCCTTGCTAGCTGCGGCTGACCAATTGGTATACGGGCGAAGACTAAACCCTGCGGCGCAGCAGCTGCAGCAGCAGCAGAAACAATAACAACTGCACTGGCAACATTAAAGGCATCAACAGCAGCAGCTGCAGCAGTTACCGCCACAGCGCAGCAGCACGCAGCAGCTACACTCACACAAGAGAAGAAGAAAACGCCGCTTAGGCTGTCTCAGGCTGCTGCGATGGAGGCCGAAAAACCCTTTGCAAAAATATGCGAGGAGTATGCGGAGGCTCACGGCCTGAGGGACATGATGCAGTCTCTGCTGAAATTGCTGCTTCAGCAGCAGCCAGAAGACCCGCTGCAGTACCTCATAGACCACCTAAAACAGCAGCAACTCCTTGAAGCCCAGGAGATCCAGCCTGAGCAGCGTCAAGAGCAACAGGAAGAGGGGCAACAGCAGACGCAGGAAGAGCAGCAGGGGCAGCGGGAGCAGCAGCAAGTGCGGCAGCAATTGGGTCCCCCGCTGCGTCTCGTGATGCTGGGCTTGCCTGGCAGCGGGAGGCGTGAGGTGTCTGTCCGCCTGGCTGAGCGGTGGGGGCTCCCTCTGGTTTCTGTTGGGACGCTCTTGCGCACGCATGCAGAGAAGTTCCCTCGGGGCGAAGCAGCAAGGGCCCTCAACTCCAAGACCTTGGGTGAGCGGAGGCAAGAAATGGTGGCTCTACTTTCAGCAACAATAGAAAGAATAAACTTACAAGCATGAGTTCCAAAAGCAAAAACAACATTAATGCATGCATGCAGCATGCATGCGGCCTGCAAGTAGCATCAAAGTTTCTTGAAATACACAGGAAAACATCTTTCGGTGAAAAAGGGGGGAGGAGGGAGTTGAGCCTTACACGGTGTACATACGGAGAAAAGCTGTGGGAAAAAAGGGAAATAAAACCGCATCTCCTGTTTGAAACTGGTGCGTTTGTATTGGCAGCAAGCGACGAGCTCGTTGTGGAGTTGGTGTCTACCCAGCTGCAGCAGCAGCAACAGCAACAGCAGCAGCAGCAGTGTGGTGGCTGGATCCTTGATGGGTTTCCCCGCACCCGAGCCCAGGCCGTGGCGCTGTTGGATATGCGACTGTCACCTGACCGCTGCTGTTTGCTGCTTCCGGGGGAAGAAAGCGCGCGTTCTGCGGTGCGTGCAGCAGCAGCGGCAGCCGCAGCCGCAGCAACTGCCGCAGCAACAGCAGCAGCAGCAGCAACAGCTGCAGCAGCAGCGGACGGAAATCCCCCAGCTGGAGTCTCGGGACCCTTCTTTCGCACGACCACCACTCAAGCCTCGGAGAGGCGCAACCGGTTGCTGGTCACAAGAGAGGCAGATGCTTTCCTTCGTCAACTGTACAGGCAAGGAGCTCCCTAGGAAAAGGCTCAAACTATCCTATCACCCACCAACCCTAAACTGTAAACCCTTAATGATGAAGGGCCGCACCATCCGAAAACCCTTGTCAAATTGCCAGGCACACCAGTGGGGTGCTCGAGGTCTTGGGGCCGCTCGCAGAGACTGTCCCCGCTGAACAAGGTGCAGACAGTCTTATCGAGACTATTGAGGTACGAGTTTAGGGTTTAGGATTTAGGGTTTAAGGTTTTGGAACAGGGATGTCCCGCCTACCACCAAAGAACTGGAGTGAATCCAACTCTTGATTATTCAGCGCTGCTCCTCCGCGTGCAGTAAAGCGCCAGAGAAGTGCAGCAGCAACAGCAGCAGTTTACTGCCGCTGCAGCAGCAAGAGCAGCCTCACCTTGTGCTGTCTATTTCAGGCAAGGTGCGGCCTGGACGGAGGCTCGAAGCTACGCCTGCACCCCCCGAAGCTTTGTGTAGGTGTCCTCTGAATCTTTCGTTTCTTTTAAGGTAGCAGTGCTGCCGCTGGTGTGTAGCATTTGAACATAACGGATAGATTAGAATTTCAGGGGTCAGGCACAGCGATAGAAGAGGCAAGGGGGGGAACAGGGTGGGGTTGAAGCCGCTGGGACACTAGAGGCGCTCATTAGGAGTTGGGGTTTGCATGCATGCGTTATATGTGGGGGAAGTTCGGGCTTGGGGCTTTCGCTTCTCATGCGTACGGTCGCGACTCACAGATTATTGGGGGCTGTGCCAGCGGGAAGTCGACGCAGAGCCGTTTGCTCACCAATCGCTTCGGTGTTGTGCATGTGGACATCCGCGACATACTGCTGCAGAAGGTGAGGCACCGCTTGCCTAGCCTTCGTACACTAGGGGCTGGTGCTACTCCTTGACTCTCCCATGCTAAGTGGACTCCACATCCATTAATAGGAAGCGCCACTTGGGGGGATTACACATGGGAGTACGCGTGCAGACACCCCACCAATGCACATATGCATATATATGCATATACTTATATATACATACATATGTATACATATACGTATATGCATATATATCTATATATTTGTATGTATACATATGCATTGTACATATACACTATCTATACACGCAATCCATATATATATATATATACATATATATATTATAGTAGTGCACACATGAGCATAGTGCATGCATGTAGACATCTACCCGTCAGCAGACGCACCCTATGCAGGTCTTTGCATCTACAAGTGCTCATCCACGCATGTCTATATCTATTCTTTAGGAATGCATACTTGATAAGTACACCATACATATGTATATATGTATATATAGGTATTTGCACGTATACGGCTATCTAAAGCTGTTGCTAGGGGCCACTGCTTATATTTTGCACAGCAAGACAGGCTGCTGCCCGTAGGCACACGAAGACGCTGCCTGCAAGGAGGCCCTCCTGGAGTTGGAGGCTGGCGTTGAGTGCTGTAGGTTTCAGCTTTCTGCTTTGAGGGTTCGGGCGTAGTTATTCAGCATTTAGGTTTAATGTTTCAGGCCTAAGCGTTCAGGATTACGGCTAATGGTTTAAGGATGAAGGCATAAGATTCTAGCTCTAAAATTTTACGATAAAGTTTCAGGTTTAAAGTTCCAACTTTAGGCTTTCAGGCTTCAGGTGTAGTACTTCAGGCTTCAGGATTCAGATTTCAGGATTAGGGTTGTAGCCCTGAGGCTTCAGGTTTAAGGCTAGATGCTACATGTTAAAGGCTTTAGGCTTCCTTCTCCCGATTTCAGGTTAAGATTTCAGGTTTAAAGCTTCAGGGTTAGGGCTTAAGGCTACAGAACAATTAAAGATCGAGGCTTCAGGTTTTAGTTTTCAGCTTAAGGTTTCACGTTTAAGGCTAAAGGTTTCAGTTTGAGGCTTCAGGTTTTAGGCTTTGGGTTACAAGCTTCAGATTTCAGGTTTCAGGTTGAAGTTTCAGGCTGAGGTTTGAGGTTTCAGGCCGACATATCGAATTTAAGGTTCCAGATTAAGGTCCTAGGTTTTATGTTTCTTGTTTTGTTTTTAGCAGTGTTTGTGCGTTTGCAGCGTCTGACGAGCTGCTAATACAGCTGGTAGCGCAGCGGCTCGCTGCAGCAGATTGCGCCCGCCGCGGTTGGGTCTTAGACGGAATTCCGCAGACGGCTCGCCAGGCGCTGCTGCTGCGGCAGCACAAACTCACCCCGGATTGCATTGTGCTGCTCGAGGCCCCTGAGGTCGGCTCACGTACAGCCAAACATTTCGCATCTGCACGCTGCACAGGTGCAGCCGCATGGCTAGCCACAGCCAGCTAGCCATGCTGCTTCTGCACGCTGTACAGGTGCAACCCCATAGCTAGCTGTAACTAGCCATGCCACCTCTGCACGCTGCGCAAGTGCACCCTCCCGGCTAGCTGCAGCTAGTCCTACAGCAGATTTACACCTGCTGATACTGTCACCCGCTACTCACACACCGATGAAGCCAACAGCTACCGCTCCACAGCTGCTTGCCTAATGCTGTTTGCATGTTTGTGCTTAAGTTTAATCAATGCCGGTTTCTAGGCTGCATTTGTTTTGCTTCTGTCTCTATGTAGCGGTCTTCTGGCTTTGTTGGTTTCACTGCGTCTCCCTTTGCTCTTTCTGCGGATTTATTCTTGCGGATCGCCGCTCTTAGTCATTTGTCTGCAGGGCACTTTGGTAGACCGGATTAAGAAAAGCAGAACAGCCAGCGACAATGTGAGAAGCTGTAGCGCGGCGTGCTGCACTGCGGCGTGCTGCTGCTGCTGCTGCTGTTCAACGCCGGTGCTGCTGTTGCTTGTGCTGTTCGCTTCTGCTGTTGTTTCTGCTGTCCGCTGCTGCTGCTGCTGCTGCTCAGCTGCAGTGTCACAGTAGGAGGAGCAAGCGGTGGTGAGCTGATGCGCAGCTGCAACAACAGCTACGGGAGCAGCGGGTCTGCGCTTGCGAATGCATGCAGAAATCCATGGAGGCAGCTGTAGAGGTACAGACAGACAAAAGCCAACAACACAAAGACGCAGCTAGGCTAGTGGAACTGCGGTAAGCAAAACCATTCAAGCAGAAGCAGCAGCAGCAAGCAGCAAACATTGCCGCTGCGATACCGCTAGTAGAGACTGCAGCGGTTCTCGGCAGAAGGGAATACCCCCTTTACGTTAGCTGCACCAGCAGCAGCAGCGCTCGGGCGTAGACTCGCAGCAGTTGCAGCAGCAGCTGCTGCTGAAATGCATGCAGCGGCAGCATAAGACTTGCGAATTTGCTCTCTTCAGCATCGCGCAGCTGGAGCGATGGCTGCCAGAAATCCGCGAGGCCTTCTCAGGAAAGCTAACGACTGTCTGGTGAGGACTAAATATGCATCCCTTCCCCGTATAGCCAGCTAGCTAGCCAGCTGCAAAGCTAACTTGCTAGCTAGCTAGCTATCTAACTAATTAGCTAACTAACTAGCTAGCTAGGTTTTAGAGTTGGGGCCTGAGGCGTGGCTGCTGCAGCTCTGACGACGCCTTCTCAGTGGAGTCGGTTAATAAACGAATTTTGGAATTCCTTGCGAAGTAAACCCTTGCGGTTCACTGCCTACACCCTAACGCTGAAGCCTAAACCCTAAACCCTAAACCCTAAATCCTAGCGGCAAACCTAGCAGCAAACGTTTAAGCCTAAAGCGGCCCGATGATCCTCGAGGCTGCACACAGTCAGCAGTAGACACTCTAAACCCCCCGAACTAAACACACTAAACCCTAAACCCCACGCCCTCATCCCTATACTCCGATAACGGCTTAGAGTTTAGGGTTTAAGCCCTGCAAAAGCACAACCCTCAAAGTATGGAGCTTATCCCCCTGTGTTCATCTATCCGTCTTTGCTGCTTCTGCGTGTGCAGCCACCGCATGCCTCCCAGAAGGCCAAGCTGACCCGTAGCGAGCTCCTGTGGCTGGTGCTGCTGCTGCTCGTGCTGCAGTTGCTGTCTACTGCTTCTTTGGAGGCCTCGCAGCAGCAAGGAAACAGGAGCTGCTGCTGCTGCTGCTGCTGCTGCTACGCAACCCCTGCAGCAGCAGCAGGGATAGCCTTTGTAGATTATCTTTTGTCCGAACTCGCGGCAGCTGAGGACTTCTTTGGCATAGGACCTCCTTTGCTGTTGAGACAGTGGAGCTGTTTGTGTTGCATGCAGTACACGCCACATGGGTGTGCAGAAGCAAAAGAAACAGAATTCTTGTTGCATGCAAAAAAAGGAGTAGAAGGGGAGAAGATAGCACCAGACACATGCGTTTTCTCTTCAGGTGTCTATACACCTGAAAAAGCAAAACTCATAATTATCCTATTCCAAAGAACAACGCCTGAATGCATGCAACTGCATTGAGCACACAAATAAGCATATCTAAACATATATGATGCTGCTTCACATCCACCAGTAGATATATTTCTCTGCAAGCACATATATATATATATACATACTTACATATAAGTATATATACAGGGTTAAATATACATTAATGCTTTCGCATACGTATATTTGCAGGTTTATTCAAACATGAATGCTGCCTTGAATCTAATGTTTACCCTAGTGTTGCATATATATTTTTATATACAATGCTATTGTGTATGTATTTTTATGTACAATATATATAATTATCTATATATACAATGCTATTGCATATATATTTACATATACAATACTAATGTAAACATATATATATGTTGAACAAGTATATACATGTTTATGCATATATGCAAGGGAAGGAAGAAAGAGCAGAAACCATATTTCCGTGTCCTTTAATGTACAACCTAAAAATATATACAAATATAATAAATATAATATAAATAAAGCATTTTTCTTTATATTGTTTTTCTCAACTGTCTCAGAAGACAGCGCTCTACCCTTAAGGTTTCCTACTCCTGTACACCACACAAGTATATAACCTACAAGGAATGCGTATAGTAAAATTTTATATAAATAAAATGAAAAGATATAGACTTGTATTTTATATTTTTAATAAATTACATCCCTATTCAATAACTCTTCCCTTTGAAATCAGCACAAACTAACAAGCCACAGGGGGGCCCTCTAAGGGGGGCCCCCTAAACCCTGTCCATGGGGGGCCCCCAGGGCAGCAGAATTCCGCAGTAGACGGCGAAGAACGAAGTTCAGATTATTAAATTTTAGATCCTTTCATGTGAGGCAGCCTCTTAGGAGTAATCCTAATGCTGTGGAAACCCTAAACCCTAAACCCTAAACCCTAAACCCTAAACCCTAGAACTAGGCTCGCATGGGTATACGGAAAGGCCTCTAATGCTCTTTTCGTAAGCACAGAACAAACACCCCGCTGTTGCAGATCCGAACACTAAACCATACTTCGTAAACCCTAAACCCTAGACCGCTTCCTCATGCTTTTCGAAAGTTAGGGGCCCCTGCACTGCAAGACGGGGCCCTCCGCAAGGGTTTACACCTCAAAATAATGATTGCGCTGTTAAGAATTATATATCTGCTGCTTCTTCCCCCGGTCTTCTCCGTAGAGGCCTTTCAGCTGTACGTACACCCTAACCCAGCCTGCTCTCTGCTCAGCAGCAGCAGCAGCAGCTGCAGCAGCAGACGCAGCGACTGCAGTAACAACAGAACCTCAGCAAGCAGAAAATTCATCTCTCCCACTCATGCAGCAGCAGCAGTTGCAGCTGATGCAGATGGAGGAGCGGCAACAGATTCTGGCGCAGCAGCAGCAACATCTGCAGCAGCACCGGCAGCAGCAGCACCAGTGGATGCTGCCCTCGTGAAGAAGTTGAGGCAGATAACTGCAGCAGGTTATGGGGCTTGCATGCGGGCGCTGCAGCAAAGTGGGGGGGACTTGACGAAGGCAGTGCAGTGGCTGCGGCAGCAAGGGGCTGCGGACGCAGCAGCAGCAGCAGCTGCAGCTGCTGCTGCTGCTGGGGCAAGCAATCCAGACAGCACTGACGCCCTCAACGAAGGGATCGTTGCAGTATGCCACTTAGCAGCACTACCACCAGCAGCAGCAACAACAGATGCAGCAGCAGCAGCAGCAGATGTAGAAAGGGTTGCTGCTGTGCATGTTGCCTGCAACACCGACTTCGTTAGCCGCAGCGATGTCTTTTGTGCAGCGGCAAGGCGGGCTGCTGCTGCCGCATGCAACTCCCCCGAGTTTGCAGCAGCAGCAGGAGCAGCAGCGAGATCGCGACAGCAGCAAGAGCTGCTGCTGCAGCAGCTCCTGGCGCTGCCTGCTTCCAGCGACTCCGTTTCCCTTGACGCAGCTTCAACAGCACCTGCAGCAGCAGCAGCACCTGCTGCAGGAGCAGCAGCAGCAGCAGGATCAGCAGCAACTGTGGGAGAAGACTTGGCTTATGTGTCTCGCTTGTTAGGGGAGAAAGTGCTGCTGAAGGGCCTGGCGCTGCGAGAGGCCCGCAGGGGGCTGGGGATCGTCTGCTCCTACTGCCACCAACCTGTTGCTGCTGCTGCTGCACCGCTGGTGGTCCTGCTGCACCTCTCCTACACCCGCAGCCAGCAGCAGCAGCAGCAAAAAGAAGAAGAAGAACAGCAGCAAGACTTCGAGAAGAAGCTGCGGCACTGGGGGAAGCAGCTGTGCCTGCATATTGCAGCAGCCCGGCCAATCGCAGTCGTGAGCAGCAAACCCTAAACCCTAAACCCTAAACGCTAAACCCTCACCACAATCCCTACCCTAAGCGCGAACCCTAAACCCTAGCTCTACACCCTAGCTTGTAACAAAAAGTCTTATCTGTAACTCCAAACCCTCACGCTAAACCCTAGCAGTAGACTCTTCCCTTAAACCCTAAACCCTAAGCCGTAATAACTCTAAACCTCCTTCCCAAATCCTAATTCTCGCCCCCCTCTCTAAACCCTAATTCTAATCCCTATCCCTCTGAGCGAAGACCCTTGAGAGCCCCTGCTGTTTCAGCGTACACTTGGGGTTTAGGGTTTGGCAGTGGAGACAGGCTGCTCCGCCGTACCTAGGGTTTAGGGTTTAGGGTTTAGGGTTTTTAGTGTCTGTGGGTGCCAGAGAGTGGAGGACCTTCCCCCTGAGATGGTGGCCCAAGAGCGGCAGTACGTCCTCAACAGCTTAAGCAGCAGCAGCAGCAGCAGCAGCAAGGGTAGCAGCAGCAACAGCAACAAGAACAGCAGCAGCAAGAACAGCAGCAGCAGCAAAGACATGCCGGAGGCCCTGAAGCAAAAGATTGTAGAGGGCAAAATGAACAAATGGTACAAGGAAACAGTCCTCTTGAAACAAGTAAGAATGCTGCAAACCCTAAACCCTAGCTCTAAACCCTAAACCCTAGCTCTATCTCTAAACCCTGTCCCTAAACCCTAAACCCTACTTGTTAAGCCCTAACCCTAAGCCGTAATATACACTCAATGGCTCTAAACCCTAATTGCCGACCCTTAGCTCTAATCGATACCCCTTAACCCTATCGATAAGCTAAAAGCTTACAAACCCTAAACCCTAGGTCTATACCCTAACCCTAATTCCTACCCGTAAACCCTAAACCCTAGCCGTAGAAGTTGGTTCGGAGTCTCGTTGGCTGCACCCTACAAATTTATTTCCAGACCTTCTTCAAAAGGGTTTAGGGTTTAGGGTTAAGGTTTGTTCTCCTTTACGCAGCCGTGGGCTTTAGATGACAGCGGGCGGTCTACAGAGAAGGTGCTGAGGGAGACAGAGAGTCTCCTAAAGACAAAAATAAACATCGAGGGTTTTGATGTGCTCCAGGTGAAGCCTCACACGTAGCAGAGGGGGCCCTTAAACCCAAAACCCTAAACCCTAGCGGTAGATCCTCAACTTCGTCTGGGGCTTGCATGCAGCCGTCTCAGGCCGCTCAGGGGAGGGGGGCCCTTCAGGCTCAGGCTTTATGGTTTAGGGTTTAGGGTTTTAGGGGGTTCGAGCGTCTGCTGAACTTCTTTTGAAGGCCCTGTGGTCTCCTCTAGGCAAATGAGGGTTTTAGCAGTTTGTTTAACAAGGTTTATATATATATATATATATATATATATATATGATGTTGTAGGGTTTACGGATTAAGAGCATCGGAAAGGGGTAGAGGGAGAGGCTTTGCTTTTGTCTCTCCTACCTACCCTGTGGTTGTTGTCGTCTTAAGGGGTTTAGGGTTTAGGGTTTAGAGTTGAGTCGATACAACCGTAGACGAGCTGCACGAGCAAATATAATAATGCAGACACCTGTAAGCTGCTGCAGTGTACGTACACCTGAAACTCCTGTTTCTGCGTGGCCCGTGGGCGTCAATGTCTGTACACCAGAGGTGACAGGACGCTGGTAGCAGACCCAGAGATTGTTAGCATCTTTACCTAAACCCTAAACCCTAAACCCTAAGGAAAACAAAGAGGAGGATATTCAATATGAATAAAGGAGGTGTAGAAAAAAAACAAAGACGGGGGAAGACCGGCATTCATTGCACTAATGAAGGGATATAAATAGAAATATAGATTTATCAAGATGCTTATTGCATAAATAAGATTATATTTTATTAGAAGGAAAACAACAGAGAATGATAAGAAAAAACGGTAGACCTGCAGCCGCGCCCCCGCTTCTCTTTCTGCTCATTGTAAATACCCCTCTAATTCCCTTTAAAAACAAAATTAATTAAATGTTAAATTTAATTTAATCTTTTATTTTATTTATATATTTCTTTTGTATTTCAACACTACACAATCGATTAAGCCCCGCCGCTCCACCGCCCGTGCCCTGACCGCTGGCCTTTGCGCCTCTGATTTCAGCTCCAGTTCACGCAAAGCCGTGAATTAATATTCAAATAGACAAAAAAATGATGAAATAAAACAAAAATAAACAAAACGACCGTACAAAAACAATTATTTCGATGTATTATATACCAGGTGTGTATGCAGAAGGCGCAGCAGCAGCAGCAGGCGGCCCAGGATTGTCTTCGTGTCTTCTTCGTTTTTTTTGTCTTAAAGAAAAATACCGCTATTTCAATAAATATCTCAAACTTTGGCCAATCGTAAGGACCAGGGTTTAGGGTTTAGGGTTTAGGGTTTAGGGTTTGGTGGCCTGGGCGTCCCCAGTTCTCTCAGGATTGTTTTAGGGGTCCCTTCTAGCGCTCTTCTCCTTTCTCTGGGGGCCCCCGGGGGCCCCTGGGGCCCCCCTATTTTTGTCTTTTTCAGTGCTAAGCCCCTTTGCTTCTTTGTCTGTCTCCTGAGCACAGCATGCCGTTGTTTCTCTTCAGCAGCAAGCTGAGTCGAGGGGCTTAATGTAGAGATATTATGTTGTATTATTTGCATTTTCCTCTTAGGGCCCTTAAAATCAGCAGCTGATTAGAGACAACATAAAAAAAGAAGAAAGAGAGAAGACACTTCTGCTTGGAGTATACACCCTGAAACCATCGTAGCCAACATCACCCGTTGTTTTATTTTCTTCTTCTTCTTACTTCTCTCCTTTTGCGTCAACAAGAAAAAGCCCTTCTTACAACCTTAAAACCCTTTTTATTACTCTTCTGAGAGTTATCTTCCCTCAAACATCTCTTTTGTATCTCTTCTCTCAATCTCTCTATCATAATTCCTTATCTATGAACACTACTGCACCTTTCAAAGGGCAGCCTGGAGGGCTTTTGGGGGGCCCCCTTGGGGGCCCCCCTGGGGGTTTCCTTGGGGGCCCCCCTGGGGGATTCCTTGAGGGCCCCACTGGGGGCCCCCTGAGGGGCCCCCCTGGGGCCAACCGGGGGCACTCTTTGTCTCCTAAGGCCGCTAGGCGACTGCAGCACCTAATGCAGCAGCGCAATATTCGTTTATTTGGTTTGGCTGCACCTTGTTGGGGGCCCTCTGAGGCCTCTTCTCGTTCTTGTGGGGTGTACAGACAGCAGAAGGAGACGAAGGTGTGCACAGAGAAGACGCCTGAAGACACCAGCAGACAGACTCTTAACTCTCCTCACTTTGGAAAGAAGAACTGCGAAGGGAAGCAGAAAACGGAATTTAAAACCTATCAACAAGTAAGATGCTGCTGCTGCTGCTGCTGCTGCTGCTGGTTCTGGTGCTGGTGTTTGTTCTGCTGCTTCTGCTGCTGCTG